AAATTATAGAGAATTTTTAGAAATGGATTAGCTGAAATTTGAAATATTCCATATAAAATTCTGCATCTTCTGATGTGACTTTCAAAATGTTAGAATAAATATTTGAAAGAAAAAATTGGTTCAAATAAATCTGCACTAGTGTTTTCCATTAATAACAAGTAGTCTATAAATGTTTCAACAGTTTAAGTGAACTCATGTCCCGTTTAGTTCAACATTCAATTGTGCATATGATAAGATGAGAATTAATGTTTTTTTTAGAACGTATCTGATTTATAATTATATAATTTTACGTAATACACCCAAAGATACTTTCAAATGTTAGCTCACAACTATTTTTCTCGTATACCATTTGCAGTTTGATGATTCAATATATGTTAATCTCATCGAATTCATGCCTGCATGAAAAATATCTCGAGAAAATAAATTTCGCAGTTTTGTAAAAGATTAAAACATGTTCATATTGAGTTGTATCGCAAGCATGTCTTTGTATCACTATTAAATAAATGATCATTACAGATAGGTTAATATATAGGACTCTTTGAATATTAATATTTTCTTAATATCGATGACTTATTGAGAGTAGTAAGACTGCAACGATTGAAAACATCATGAAATTCATCCTAAAAAAGATTTTGACTTTCGTATTAGTGTCGTGACTTATTAGTCGTTTTTGAATTAGTTATTACCGTAACTCCGTTTTTTTCTGAACCAAAACAACTAGACATAAATATTACAGAAGAACTTAGAATTCAGGAAAATTTTCAATTATCCTAAAGAATTTATCTTCGATCATAAAAAATTGATCAAACACATGCGTACAATGTACTAATAGATAGGGTGAAATCTGAACGACTATTATATTTATTTGACATGCCAAGTTTTACTCGTCAAACTATAGTTATCCGACTGTGGGTGTGACTCTTCTCTTTATCATCACCCACATACACCAACCCTCGAAGCTCGAATGTTTGGAACTCATCTGTTGAGATCTACTAATGTCATGTCATTCAAATTAACATATGAATGGAAGTCCTGATTAGAAAAAGTTAAATAAAATTTTGGTGATTAAATTGATTGAATTAATAATAATCTTTATTCACTCCATTGATAATTAGATAAAAGTTCATTAGTAAAAATCGCTCGTTCGTGTTTAAGAATTTAAGTTAAATTCATGATGATTTCTAATTGCTAAGAAACAACCTAACAAAAAAGAACAGTCAATCTTTTTTTAACCAGATACTCCATTTTTACATTTCGTTTTCTTCTTCTTATTCCAATCCGTCTGAACAAATATATTGGATTAATGACGAATAGGTGAGTTTTTGTCCAAAACAAAGTAACATTTGTCTACAATAAAAATGAACTAGGCATCTGTACGATACTCGTTTCAAGAAATTCATTGATTCTATTCGTCAATATAACGATCGTCATAATAATTATATGTATATGTATGTTTCCCAGAGAATACAAGTCATAGTTTAAATCAATCTAATTTCAATCTTCTTGACTTACCACATGAGTTATTAGTTATGATATTGAAGAAACTTGACAATATTGATGTTTTATATTCATTAATGGATGTTTTCAATAAACAGTTTGACAGTTTTGTTACAAGATAGTATTTTTACTAACACTTTGAGTTTAGTTACAAGATCATCAACTAATGATGATATTTGTTCACTTGACACTTTCATACTTGATCGATTATGTACTGATACATTACCAAGAATTCATCATAATGTAAAACATCTTATTCTTGAACTTATGTCTATGGAGCGTATTCTTCTTGCTGACAACTATCCAAATTTAACTTCTCTCAAATTGTTTAATTTCACACAAGAGATCGTTTCTTCCTATTTTACAGGTGAATATCTCATACATTTTAGAGAAGCAAAATAATCAACGTATAGTAGCATTGAAAAGAAAACTACACGCTTGCTTTGATCGCTTTCATTCTTTTTTTTATTTATAGGAGTCAATTTTTCCACATATATTCAAACATCAAATAACAGAACTTATTCTTGTAAATGATGAGAATACAAATATTACAATATCATGAAAAGATTATATTGCATTTTTATACACACGAGTCTTTAGTTTTTTTGAAAACCTCAAACATTTAATCATTATTGAAACATTCACAACTCATTATCTACCCTTGTCATTTTGTGATTCAGCATCTACTACTTTTTTCTCTTCGATTCTTACGAAATCATATATCAATGTATTTACTATGGATGATTGTCTTAAACAATTGATCACATTCAAAGTTCGAATTCATTATATAGACAATGCTTCATCAATTGTTCACAAGACTGTAAGTTTACATTATATAATTTTTTTTTTCAATCGCATGTCGAATATCAGTCATAAACGTGAGCTAATCAATAGACTAATGTACCAACCGATTGCAATAAAAATGAATAGAGAGTATGTCACTTCTTTGAGGATATGGTTGCGACCGGTCATCGATTTTTCATATGATTTTAGTTTGTTTAATAAACAATTCATATTCAATATAATTAACTAATTCAACGGTTGAAAATGACTATTTATTTAACAGATATAAAGATAAAAAAGATTTGATGTCTATTATTTTTTCAATTAAATGAATTATCGAATGAATGAGTTTACTTGTAATACATTTGTGGTGATCGTTAATTAGGATTTCTATTTGTTCACTTAATATCTATTGTAATATGAATAAGATCAAAGTTTATAAAAGTGAACAAATTGTTTTACATACAATTACAAGAAAATGTTCACTTGAATGAATATCAGAGAATTTTAGACAATTGAAAATGAATCATATTTTTGATCGATAGGTCGTCCGAATTTTTTTTTCATCTATTTCATAGATTTTATTTCTAATCATATATTTATTTTCTAGGATGATCTACCTAATTTAAAATGTTTTTCATTAATATGTTATCAGAGAATACATACATATGATACTATTTGTTGATGGTACTCATCTTCAGAAGGAAATTCTTAATTATATGCAACGACTTTATACATTCAGATTTTTTATACGTACACAAATTGAAATCAATGATTCATTTCATCGTACATCTAAGAATGATGTTCTACAAACTTTTACAAATATAGGTTATCATCAAACGGCTTGTAATATAGATTATTTTGGTAGGCACAGTGTGATATGCACTGTCTTTTCGACTTCGTTCGCATTTGATTATCTCGGAATGATCACCAATAAGTTTTCAACTATGATGGGCAATTATTTTGTTTATTTAAGGGTGATCGATGAAATTCCATTCAAATAGGAGTTCTTCATTCGAGTTTCTGAAACGTTTCGATTGTTGAAACATTTTTCTATTAGCAATTTTTTGTCACCATTATGCAATTTTGATCACCATAAAGCTGACATGATATTATCTTACTCACTTATACTTCACTTGACATTATGCATATTATTGGTTATTATATTGAACAATTTTTACTTGATATAAAGACGTGTACCTCGCCTTATTGAAAAGCGGGTATGTTATGATCAATTGAAAACTGTAACAGAGAACTTTATAAGAGATGCAACAAGACGCAATTGTGTTAATAGAAAACGATTAATTTTTTGAAGAAGCAATTGTCTCTACAGTAGAATTGATTCTGTATTTTTCTTTCTTATTGATTGTATTTTGCTCTGATTATTTTAATAAAAATCTTCGCTTTGTATATGAAGGATAGTATTGTAAGTGAAATTGTATTATTTAATGATATTTGTATAGCAATAACGAAATTCCTATGAATGTTTTCGATTGTTTTGTTATTTCTCATCGTTCACAAGTTACAGGATGGTTTTGATTGTGTCAGACAAAGAGACAAATTGTTTACTACTCTTATGCATAGTTTTTGAATTTTAATTCTCGTTTGATTTAGTATAGATCATTGAATGAAATATTTCTAAATCTAATTTATCTTTATTTCTTCTCTAGAAAAAAAAAAAATTTATTTTTTCGAAGAGAAAACAACAGATTAAACAGGATTTTGAAACAATTGCAGTAATTTATTCACATATCAATAACAGTTTTTGATAAATTCGAATTAGTTTTGATAAGTTTATTTTATGTTGATGCTGATTGTCTTCTACATGTCCAGACCTAAATCGAGTTTCGTCAGAAAAGTCGAAACTGAGTTAGACACATGGTAAAACAGCCTGACATATGATTTTTTTTATAGTTAACACGATTGGTCAGTTGAGACACACTTTTTTGCTAAGATCTTTCATCGTTTATGTTATTTGCTTATGAAACAAGCTCTTCTGAGAGAAAAAAGTGCAGTTTCGAATGTCGCTAGGAAAATAAGTGTTCAATAGGTATGCAGGTCTGTTTGACTCTGGATTACTGACAGTCGATCATCAACTCTCACTTATATCTGTTTATTAACATCCATCACATGCATATATTGAAACGAATCTAACAATTGGGTTAATTTTACTTATCGTTGTTGTTGGGAAACTTTTTCATAAAAGAAAAATAAAACGTCAGCTAGAAGAATCACATACTACAATGAATATAATGCTCTTTACCAAAAGAGAAACGAACAGCAATATATGTGTAGATTAGAGTCCTGCGCGGGTTTGATTTTTCGAACCCGCACCCGACCCGAGGTCTTTTAGTCGTACCCGTGCCCGACCCGACCCGACAAGGCTCAACCCGAGCCCGACCCGACCCGACAAGGTTCAACCCGAGCCCGACCCGACCCGAGGATAGTTGGACCCGAGCCCGACCCGACCCGAGGATAGTTGAACCCGAGCCCGACCCGACCCGAGAGATTTAAATTCGTTTATTTTATAAAGATGCATCAGTTTATTGCAATATTAAGCATAAAAAATGATAGAAGCTTTATAGCAATAAAAAACACATAGATAATCATGATTGCAAAAAAAACCATCACAACTTAGTATGATCACATTTCCATTCAAATACATACATTTCAAACAGTTAAGATCGATAATGATCATAACAATAAGTATCGTACAAATATCAATAATACATCTTCAATTTATACAAAACAACTGAAAAATTTCGTAAAAAAATAAGAGAGTCAAGTGATTCTGGTGATATTTGTTGACGTCGAACTTCAAGAATCCGACCTGTTTTACTGAATATTCTTTCAGATACAGCAGAACCTGCAGGTACTGCTAAGAGAGAACATGCCAATGATGATAACCTAAGGAGAATCAAATTTAAATTAATTTATTGAATTTTTCTTGTACATTTAAGGAGAATGATATAGTAATCAAGAAACTCACTTTTTGTATATGATAGAGTGTTTTTGCCACCGTTGTAAAAGTGATTCTCCTTTTGGGTATGATATTTTCGCTTTAATATAATCATCTACTTTATCCATCGGCCTCTTATCATCATCGTCTGATGATGAGTCTACAAATGCATTAAAAGACTTGAGAACATCGTGTACAGTGTCTATTTTAATACGTTTTTGATGTGTTGAGGAATTGTTGTTGGTACCTGTCTCTGTTGTTTCTTCATCGACTTGTTGATCTATACCTAGAGCTTTTAAAAGTATTCGTATATTTTTAATAACAGCATTACGTTCTGATTTCATTAGACTCTGAGAATCATTGATCAATAGAATTGAGTTTTATTATTCTATGAGTTTAAGACGAACGAAAATAGAGGGCAAAAGCATACATACGCAAAAAAATCCGACCCGATAAAAACCCGACATTTTTTAATTTCAAACCCACACCCGACCCGACCCGACGGCTGACAGACCCGTACCCGACCCGACCCGATAAGATTGAACCCGAGCCCGCCCGCACCCGACAAGATTGAACCCGAACCCGCCCGCACCCGCGGGTCGGGCTCGGGTGCGGGTCGGGTCGGGTCGGGTTGCAGTGCTCTAGTGTAGATATATGGTTACAGAGAGAACGTACGGAAAAGCAAGAAGAAATGTCGTTCCTCTCTAGAGTGTCTATATCAATAGTGATCGTAACAAGTAGATTTAACTCTTCGGCGATCATGTAATAGGATGAACTTATTTAAGCTGGATGTCGATAGGTCATGTTCATCAGTGTGAAGTCGTTTGCCAGCGATAACACGAGCGCATAGACATTTCAGACGGCGTGGAAACTTTTCGATATCAAGAAACGTTCTTATAGTTTCATTTTCTATGCAGTCGATAGGAGTTTCTCCATTATAATTGACACAATCGATATGAGCACCGGCATTTATGAGACATTCGACAATAATCAGTTCTTGCAATTCTTTGCATGCCACATGTAGTGCCGTGCAACCATGCATTTGTTCAGCAGCATCCAAATCCAACCAACGACGTCCACAAGTAAGTAACAATTGAAGAGCAGATACATTTGGAAATCTTAAAATAAAAAAAGATTTTTTTCAAAACTTTTATAAAGTTGCAATATTCGCAAGACTTTTTTCTATTGAAATTTTCATAAAAGTATTTAATTAATTGAATAATCTGTGTCAGTCACTAGCCATAGAATAGACATAGATTGTGTTCTACGGAAGGAAAGAATTTCTCTATCAATCTGTATAAAGTTTTTTGAGTTTTTTCATAATTTTTTTCCAGAATCCGAGTATAAAAGTGATTTTTCTTGCAAATGAAACACTTTAACGATGTCAAAAATTGTTTCTATGCGAAAAGATGTTCATCATTGATCTGTCTAAGTTAAAATTCATTCTTATGAGGATATAGATGTTGGTTTTCATTTTCCTGAAACTCACACTCACATGGATCACACCATGAGTACACTCTTATTTCATTTTCTAAAATTCAAAAAGCTAACTTACTGGATATGAGGCCGAGTATCACTAGGACGCCAATCAAGGCACGTATTACTGCTACTGTCCACACATAAATGAAGCAGAGTTTTTCCGTCTTGAGTTGCTTGATTCAGACGACATAACTTGGAAACCCATCGAAATATCAAATTTCCTTCTTCGCTTGTCGTAATCTGATGTTCTAGAATCTTAAAAATGAAACAGTTTTGATTTATTGGATAGTAAAGAGTATTTTACCTTTGTTGCAATTATAACGAGGAACAATGCATTGAAAATAGTATTTTGATTCGAATTATTTTGTGATGGTTCGAATATCAGGTAACAAACCTTTAGAAATTGATCAATAGGAATTTGTTGATTTGCTGTAAACATTTTACAAAATAACCATACGAATCGATGCAGACAAGTGTCTATCTGCATTTTTTGATAGAGGTTAAATGCATGAATCCACAAATGTAAACATTTGTCAAACTCACCTTTGGATACTAATACATCGCCATGATCCAACAACGGTTTCATTAAATTATGATCATTTCGTGAAAGTAAAAGACGCTCTCGAACGAGTGCTGTTTCAATCCACATTCGATCATGATCATGTTTAATAGCTTCAAGTTCTTCGACTGTTTGACATTCTTGATGATACTCATAGGCAACATTGGGCTTTATACATACCTTTGGTGTCTGACTAGATGTCCGATACTCAATAGCAAGAACCAAGAGCTTTGCAGCGCGGTGTAAGTGTCGCATCGGCGAATTGGTGACAACTAATGAACAGGCAGCAAGCTCGAGGTTCTCGATAGTGACTATTGAACGTTTGACGAAGAAATCAATCACATCAAAACGTTTCTTTCTCACAGCAACCATGAGAAGAGTTTTACCATCATTCAACTTGACGTTTGTATCCGCATCTGCATCACATAGCAATCGTACCACATCAATATGACCTTGAGCAACAGCAATCGTAATTGGTGTTGATCCACGGAGTCTGTTGCTTTTACAAGTGTAATTGACATCAGCATTCTTTTCGATTAAATATTCGATTAAAGTTGTGTACCCTTTGGAAGCAGCCAATATCATAGCCGTACATTGGTCCTCGTCATTCGACCAAGACTTGTTAACATCAGAGTAACCATTTTCAACGAGAAAACGAACTATATCAAGACGATTTTCTGCACTAGCTTGAATAAGTAATGGGCAATTTAGCCATTTTTCATTATCATGATATAAATTGGCTCCTCCGATTTCAATCAAAGTTTTAGCTACAGTGAAATGTGATCGATAACAGGCACACTGAATTGCTGTCATGCGATCGATAAAATTTTCCTTGGAAATAGCTACTCTTCCTTCTAACTCTACCTGATGTTGAGACGAACAATGAGCAAGTAGAATTCGTACTATTTCGTCGTATCCATTAAGAGCCGCCACCATTAACAAACTTAAGTTTTCTTCACCATGCCAACTGAGAGTCGTCAAGTATTGGGTCGGATTGTTAAGACTGTGTAGACGAGCATCAAGTTGATCTACTAAATTATTTCGAACAAGTGCATATAATTCGTCGGTGTAAAACGATTCGATCGGAATAATTTCATTCATGTTAACTTCAATAAAAATGTGTGTAACATTTGAAAACGTTCTTCGTTTATATAGCTCGAAAGTCACTGTTGCTTCTTTTTTTTTTACACTGATGCGAATTGTGAGCAATTACACATGATTCATACTTCAAACAAAACTGATAGAATGCTTTTCATGCATCGCAATCTGTCTCAACAGAAGTAGAAGAACAGAAAAAATTAAAATACTCTGATGTAAGTTTGCCTTTTGACATATCCATCTCAAATTATGTTATGGTACGCTTTAAATCAACTGTCATAATGTCTTTGCATTACATAGCAACGACCGAAGGCTTAATGTGCCGATTGTTAGGGCATGATGTGATAGACATGAATGCTCACACTTTCACTTAAATGAGAGTACTGGTTATTGTTTGAAGCACAAATATGAGGACTAGCGCAAATATTGACAAAACTACTCAGATAATAATTTCACTGTGATCATTTCGGTTTAACATTTTGGAACAAAAACATTAGTTTAGCATTGATGTGCTAAAATAAAAGACTTTTACAACTAACTGTATGGATTCGAGCACACAGTCGATTTAATTTTGCTCTTCTGTATCGGTTAGGTGTGGGTGTGGGTGTGGATATATGTATGAATGTGAGTGTCTCCATACTCCGACTACACCTACGCTCACCCTTCTTATGTAGAGCTGTTATTTTGAGTATGTTGTTAAACTATCTTATGAGCCATTGAAAAAAAATTGTCAAATCACATGATTAATTGAAAATATCAACTAATGCAAAAAATTATGAGGAACTAACTGCGTGATGAAAAGGAGACAAAAATGAAATGAAGTATTTTCAGCTTCGATGTATAAACTATTTATTCTTCAAGCGTGAACCTAATCAACGAATGCAGAGATACTCAAAGATTTCTTCATCAACACTGTAAATATAAAAGTGGTTTACATTTAACAGAGAAGACAAGTAAACCCTTATATCGAGTTTTCCAAAATGTTTGCATGTGGTTTATTTCGCATATATCTCAGCATCGATAAATAATAAAATCTTGATCTTTCTTAAAGATGCGCCATGGAAAGCTCTACGAAATCTATATAAAGAAGTCTCTATTGACTTTTTCTCCTGATGTATTTCTAAATTGGTATGAGTACGATACTGAAGACATCCTACACTCACACTCAAAATCATACCACACCAAACACCACCTACTCACTCACACCGAATCTCATCGGTTCTATATATAATATTTTATCTTAATTAGCTAATTGATTAAGAAATCTATTGGTTAGCGTCTCAGTTTGAAGTGAGCATTAATGAAGGTAAGCGAAAAAACACAGCCACACTCTAATAAACTTGTCACTTCACAGTGATCCCCCTTAGATTTTTCTTTAACTAATGACAGCTAATGTTCAATTATTGATTTAATCGTTCTATCAATATTTAGTAGGTAGGTATGCGAGTGTACACAAGACTTATTAACTCACTTACACTGTTCAAAGTTTGAATTTTATCTTAAAAAAATATGCAAATGAGAATTTTTACTAGTATGAAACTTGTTGTTAAATGTTGAGAATGTTTGAAAATAAAACATACACACTATTAAATAATCATTTTTTTTTTCATGTTATGCTGTTTTGTGTTATTGCTCATATTTCTTTGAATAAGATCAGTGTCAGATAATCATTCAGTTAACAAAATATCTTATTAACATCTTGTCAAAAATTAGTTAGAAACAGATTCGATATTTTAGTTGAAAATGTTCTTATCTTATATTCTCTTGAATCTCAGTCTATAATTATTTTGATATATCACTTTAGAAATCATTCTGGGTGACTCAAAATTTTAACTTGAATTAAAAGAATTCAAATATAGCAATCAATTGAATAAGTATCAAATATTCAACTGCAAATATCAATCTATTTCATCACTTCTTTTTCAAACCACAACAAAAATAAATATGACAATCAGTAACAGATTTCAATCTTTAATTTGACTTGAAAAGACGTTTGTTTTTTCGACTACAATATTTTGCAAAAATAATTAATCACTTTTTCTTCTCATGTTTTTTTTTTGCTATAAGATTACGTTGGATAACCGCTAATAGTTTTAGGTAATAGTATATTTAGTTATCTATTAGAAATGTATGATAGAGATGTGAAACGTCGTTCTATTAAATTGGTATATGGTTTCATCTTTGATGATGTCAAAAATAAATGCATCAAAATCCATTATAACATGAAGAGATGACAAGCTAGCTGCTTGGAAATCAGAATCAATCATCAATTATTAAAAAGTGACAACTGAAGCTTTCCGAATGTTATCTTAAAGATATGTTATCTCTTAAACAAAGAAAAGCAAACATATATGAACATGATAAAGGAAAAATTACACGTTAGACAATAACAACAAGATCAGCAAAACGATTACTGACAACGAAGGTTACAATATTTTCTAAAATACTCAAAACGGTTTTTTATTCAAATAATACAACCGTCCCGACGCTCTAATACCAAAACATTGAGTATTCTATACTCTTTCGATGGCTGCATCTCATAAATTTTGTCGATGCTTTTACGTTAATCTATATTATAAATTTCCACGGATTGTGTCGCTGATCTCGTTGTTTTTGTCCAACATATAATTTTTCCTTTATTATGTTCATATATGTTTGCTTTTCTTTGTTTAAGAGGTAACATATCTTTAAGATAAC